AGCAATCCTGGATCTGTCCACAGCGTAGGTGCGGGGCTGTTGTTCGAAAACCAAATCACACTGCATTAGAAACGGTTGACAATGTCCCAAGATCCCCTCATACCGTTCTGGCGTAGGAACCCACAGTTCCTGATCTGGCAGTGCGATCGGTGGCGCTGGTGGAGCCCCAGTCAGCTGAGTTTGTAGCTCTGTGACGTTGATGGTGAGTTGTCGTAGTCCATCCATGATCTCCCTGAGAGAATGACTGTGCTGTCCGAGGGTGTATTCTTGCACTGTAACTGCATGTTTGACCGCGTCTAAGTCTGCTGGGTCCATACTGGCTGGATTGTACTGTCAGAAGTGGTTTAACCAGAACCCAAAAGCAGACAAAGACGGGAGGCCTTTTCACAAACTTTATTGCGAGGCTGGCAAGACAAGGTGGGAGCGAGTGATTGAGCTTGGTGGCAGGCTCGACGGCAGGCAGGGTGTGCTCCTCCAGATAAAACAGGCAGGTATGGGCATAAGGGAAGGCGTCCTCTCCAGAGCTATACGACATAACAATCCAGCGAAGGCTGAGGAGAACTGCAGGGCTTATGAAGCAGCACAGAACGACATGATATGGATCAGGTGTGTTAATCAGTCTGCCCGACAGGTGAGTGAGCCATCCCCATGCTTCCCCACCAGTCACGCCTCCTGTCAAACTGCAAAGGTAGAGAGAGAGGTGGAGCAACAGAAAGTAACAAAACACAGACAACCACACACCGACACTCCCAGCATAGTCATAGTTGAGACCTCGTGACAACGATGAGTCCTCCATGCACGCCAAAGTTACTCATGGAGTTCCTCAAGGATCTGTCCTTGGACCAATCCTCTTCACTTTATATATGCTTCCTTTAGGCAATATTATCAGGAAACATTCCATAAGCTTTCATTGTTATACAGATGATACTCAGTTATATCTATCGATCAAGCCAGATGAAACTCATCAGTTAGCTAAACTTCAAATGTGCCTTCAGGATGTTAAAACCTGGATGACCTGTAATTTTCTCATGTTAAACTCAGATAAAACTGAAGTTATTGCTCTGGGGCCTAAGCACCTCCGTGACGCATTATCTAAAGATATAGTTTCCCTGGATGGCATCGCCTTGGCCTCCAGCACCACTGTGAGGAATCTTGGAGTTATCTTTGATCAGGACATGTCGTTTAAGTCTCACATTAAGCAAATTTCAAGGACCGCCTTTTTTCACCTACGTAATATTGCGAAAATCAGGAACATCCTGTCTAAAAATGATGCAGAAAAACTAGTCTATGCATTTGTTACTTCTAGGCTGGATTACTGCAATTCCTTATTATCAGGCTGCTCGAAAAAGTCCATTAAGACTCTTCAGCTGATCCAGAATGCTGCAGCAAGGAAAAGAGATCACATTTCTCCTGTCTTAGCTTCTTTGCATTGGCTTCCAGTAAAATCCAGAATAGAATTTAATATCATTCTTCTTACCTACAAAGCTCTTAATGGTCAGGCACCATCTTATCTTAAAGAGCTCATAGTACCTTACTACCCCACCAGAGCACTGCGCTCCCAGAATGCAGGGTTACTTGTGGTTCCTAGAGTCTCCAAAAGTAGACTAGGAGCCAGAGCGTTCAGCTATCAAGCTCCTCTCCTGTGGAACCAGGTTCCAGTTTGGGTTCAGGAGGCAGACACCATCTCCACATTTAAGAGTAGACTTAAGACTTTCCTCTTTGATAAAGCTTATAGTTAGGGCTGGCTCAGGTAGTCCTGAACCATCCCTTAGTTATGCTGCTATAGGCCTAGACTGCCGGGGGATTTCCCATGATGCACTGAGCTCCTCTCTCCTCTACTTTCTCTCCCTCTGTATGCAACCTTATCCCATTATTGCATGTTACTAACACAACTTCTCCCCTTTCTGGTAGTCTTGTGCTTTCTCGTCTCTCTCCTCTCTCCTATCACTTCCTGCAGGTTTTCTGGCTCTGGAGCTGTGGAGTCTGGATCTGTGGCTGCGGGTCACCTGCTGCCCCTGTGTTCCTGCTCGACACCCTCTACTGCAACGACTATTGTTGCTAGTCTTATTGTTATTATTGTTATTATAATCATTAACATTACGATGGTTACCATTAACACTATTATAAATATCTGTACCATTTTTCATTTAGTCTATAGCAACATTACCTTCACTGTCTGTACCTCTGTGTGTATATTGTGTAGGCTGCCTCCCTCCCCTCTCTCTCTCCTTACATCTCTCTCTCTCTCTCTCTCTCTCTCTCTCACCCCAACCGGTCGAGGCAGATGGCCGCCCACCCTGAGCCATGTTTCTGCTCGAGGTTTCTGCCTCTTAAAGGAAGTTTTTCCTTGCCTCTGTCGCCTAGTGCTTGCTCTTGGTGGGAACTGTTGGGCTTCTGTAAATAACATCACAGAGTACGGTCTAGACCTGCTCTTTTATGAAAAGCGCTGTGAGATAACTGTCTTAACTGGCCCGTCTTCACTAAAACGCCCTCCAGAGTGTTGAAACGCAAAAGGGGGTCGGCAGCGTTTCTAAACTTCTGCGTTTTAGGTCTTTGTTTTCGCCGTTGTAGTCTGGACGGGAGGTGCAAAAGGTCTCCGTTTTAATTCAAAAACGCAGTAGTGTGGATGAAATTTACTTAATTATAATTGTTTTGAATGTTTTACCTCAGATTTGTTAAGTGATCCCAGTGTTTCCCACAGAATGACAGTGTAACTGTGGGGCCAGCTATAAACAGCATGCTTACCTCAACAACCCAGCTGTATTCTAACATTAACTTAGCTCTTCTTATTAGTTAGGCTCCTTACATGCTTGCTAATAACTTTTTTAAGCCGGGTGTCAGTGTTGTGTTGGACAGATTTATGCAGCAGTGTCCATGAGGGGAAGAGAGAGAGGGAAGAGCGAACGAGAACGCGAGAGAGAGAGAGAGAGAGAGAGAGAGGGACGAGCAAGAGGATGTGCTGCGGGAATGTGATACGGCGCTCTGCAATCAAATACAATTTTAAATAGGCCTAGTAAAAAAAAAAAAATAATCGAAAATCAATATGTGGCGGTCAGCATTGATATTGTGGCGGGCCTCCACAAATATATTGAACGTATGGGAAACACTGTGATCCACTGTTTGGCATTAAGTGACCATAAAAATAGTTTATAACCACAATTAACCATCTGGTTTCTTCAACTTTCACTCTGCCTTATATGATGATTTGACATTTATCATAAGAATAGTCGATACTGAATGATGTGAAATGTTTTATCGTGATAACATTTTCGGCCAGCACCTATATTTTCCAATCAAGCACTGATTATAGGTGGTGGCAGAAAATGTTACCAGAATGCAGGAACTGTTTAATGCTCAAAATCTTCTGGAGGTGTACCCCCAGACCCCTCATCATATATTTACACATTGAACGGTTTATCAAACCTGTGTACAATTATCTTCTCGTCGTCTTCTTGTGAACCCAAAATTGTGTTTCTTCATGTTTCGTGAGCTAAGTGTGTGTCACAACCCTAATCTGAGTCCCTATGTCAAAGTTACGCTCTTGCCCCCTACCCTCCATCTTTGTCGTAAACCCCGAACACATTTCAGGCACAGAAAAATTTCTTGCTTTAAGTCATTTTCAGGACAATAATATTACACAGCGCTGTCACAAATCTTTAATGCAATATTTAATGTAAGCTGTTAGGCAGTAACGGTTATGGCTGACATTTTGCAAGCTAAATAGCTAACATTACCATCATATGTAATCTACAAGGAATCAGGTTAAAAGTACATGCAACTCTAGAGCCTATAGTGTGCTGTCAAACACCTAATTTATTGTAACTTATTTTATCCAGCTCAGGAACATCGCCCTAATTACAGCCCAGCAACTGATGTTGTGATGATTTATGTATGCCTGCCTAGACTTGCATGCACCTCGGTAGAGAGAAGACTCTAGTATGAGTTTAAGTTTGATTTGTTTTCTATTTTTCTCTGTCTTCATAACGAAATGGCTGACAAGCTTCAGCCCAGTGTTTGACTCTTTTGGGAGAGGTAGAGGTGTAATGGGAGCCCATTTACAGTCCAGTGGGTCTCTTGGTAAAGATGGGGGTGCTTCACCTGTCTTACCTGCAAGAGATTTAGGGTCAGGTCAGGATTTGGCTGATTCACCTATGGGGCAGATGTCATCATGCCACATTATTCAACACCCAGTGGTGAAAGTGACACATTACACCAGTTCAACATGATCTACCAATTAGCTCACAGATAGGAGAGTCTATTCCAGCCAAACTTATGTCTAGTGGCGCTATTGGTAATATTTAGAAGACCCACTTCAATGTCATTGTGAAATCTGACAAGGAACCTGTTATATTTAGGGGTGATAATTCTGACAAATACACAGTGACTGAATGGGTTGAGCTAATGAGATCATACATCATGAAGCAGAACTATGAAGTTTCACTACAGACCGAAGATGTGATGGGAAGGTTAATGGGGAAAGCCAGGGATGTGGCCAAAATAGGCTTGAGGAGCGACCCCTCGCTTGACACTACTTGCCCAGATGTAATATACAACATGCTCATACAGTATTTCAGTAAAACTTCCTCATGCCTGCCCCTGCAAGACTTCTACTCAACCCTACCACAAAAGGGAGAAAATCCCATTGACTATTGGATACGCCTTAATAATGCTGCAAAGGGCTTAAAGCATCAGGGCAGACACATGGAGGATATGGAAGGAGAAATCGCCAAGATGTTTGTGAAGCACTGTCCAGATCCAGAGCTTGCATCGGGTGTTTAAATGAAAGCAGATACACAAATGGACATCAAATGAGATTCAGGTGAGGATAAATGAACATCAGCGGGAACGGGTGTCTCTACTGTAAAAGTACACATGCCAAAGACTCATGCAGCTGCGCTGTTTTGCGCAGAAATGCTTAAAACTAAGAACTGTATAACTTTTTATGTTTATGACATTTAAGAGTTGATTGTGGAAAGGTCTTTGATTAAAACCCGCACAAATAATCTTTAAGACTTTATTAAAGTTAAAACAGAAACCTCAGAGGGACCATGCCCTCCTCCTGGGAGACACGCCCCAAGGAGAGCAACAAACAAAACACACAGCAGAGCTCTTTGTTAACTCTCTTACACTTACTCTCTACACTTCTCGCTTGCTTTTGCGCCCTGTAACTCCAGCATCTAAGAGATTTGGCCCGGGGAAAATCTCCGCAAAGTTTTCTTTGTCCTACAGCAACTTACTTAGCCATATTCATGATTCACCTTTGGTGAATGACATGCTGAAGGACTGGTTTGACTTTTAGAAGGTAACGAAGAAGTGAATTCCTCAGCTGAACTGATGTTTAGCTTTAACATAACAATATATAAACCCATAGAAAATGAGCTTTTCTCAATGTAGATGATAAAGATACAGCAGATTAAACAAACTAACCTAATTGTCTTACACTCAATCCCTCCATTAATATTGAAGTATGTAAATATTGCCACCTGGCAGCAATAAGAGTGTATGTCTTTACACTGGAATGTTTTAGTAGCGAATTTCATTACAGAAACAATAGGTTTGTGTGTCAGTCAAAAAAGCATCAGTCCATCAGGTTCTGTTTGAGTAGTATTACATTCATTAGGAAGCATCAGATGGAGAGTAATTCTGTCTTTGTAATAAGACCTGGGTGTTGTGCAGTTGGCTTGGTAACCACGCTGCTCAGGACTGATTCAGAGTCTGTGAGTTACGACTTGTTTTGTAAGGATTGGTCCTGTGTGGCGCTCCAGCCTCAGCCAGCAGAGTGGAGTCTCAGAGATTCTCCTCCAGCCAGCTGTCATTTCTCATTTGACATCAACACCTGACAAAGACAGGAACGAGACAAGAGAGAAAGATTAGGATTCACTGGTTGAAAGGAAAAATACAGTCACAGCAGTGCAGCCACCATAGCAATGTTGGGCATTTCTGATGCATTCAATCAGTTACATAAATCCATGAGCTTTCATGGTTCCCCTATTATCTGTAAATGATTAAAAGTCGTTTTCCATCTGGTGTGACAGCTGCCCATGTGGTCAGCCCAGGTTATTTGTCATGATTAGGCCCCCAACTGCTCGAGGCGCCGCACTGAGTGGCAGCCCCCTCGCTCTGACATCTCTCCGTGTGTTGCTAAGGGTCCTCTTTGTGCATGTGTGTGTCTTTCGGGCCTATGTGTAGATACTAACATAATAATAACAGAGTGAAAACATTGAGTTTCCCCTCACGGGATTAATAAAGTACTGTATATCTTCTTCTTCTTCTATTCATTTCTGTATGAGTCTGTATGCTCTCTGGATACTGCTGCCTCATATTGTGGTTGGAACACATCTCTGTTGGGGTTCAGCTGTCTGTTCTTCAGCATGCAGTTTGGTCATATTTGGTTTATCAACATTTTCTGTGTTTTACAGCAGGTTGAAAATATGCTAGCTGCCTATACTTACTTGTTTCCACCAAAGGAACAGCCTCAGCCAGCAGAGTGCCCTAGTTCTAAAAAGTCCCTAGTTCTAAAAAGTCCCTGCTCGGGGGTTAGTACTTTCCCAAAGTACCGGTACTTTTTGGGGGGGGGCCTTGCAGTGAATTTCTGAATGGACGAGTAAAGGCTACTGGCTTTAAATCAAGCAAATGTTTCTAAGTAGGTTTATTGTCACAATATAACAATATAGAGTGAAACTGAGTTTTGTAACTCCCTACTGCTACATAGCAGACAATATACATCACTGGTTCTCAAACTGTTTTTGGGCCAGCGCCCCCCTATCCATTATCCAGCCCCCCATCAAAAAAGATGTTGGCTATTTGCCCTGAATATTGTTGATTATTATTTTTTTTATTGTTGTTGTTACTGTTGTAAAAACATGGAAAAAAGACATAATTGAATGACAACCAACATATTAATTACTTTCCCAGGCAACAAAAAGCCATGTGAAAAGTAATTATATTTAACTAATAAGTAAATGTTCCTTCCAAAAACTGTGTGTGAAGCCAGAGACTGGTTTCTTGGACAGGGCACTTACTAAGTGGGGTATGGGCGTCCACCCCCAGAAGATTTTGAGCATTAAACACTTAATTTCCTGCATTCTGGTGTAAATGTATGCTCCAATTTCTGCCTTTTCTGCACCAATTTATGGTGTAAATGTCTTATTATACAAAGGGAAACACAAAATTCAGGTGGTAGGTGACAATTCAAAAATATAAATATAATAGAATATAATGGTGAGGCTCTCAGGCATTCTTTAAATGTAAAATGCTCCGTACTTGTATAGCACCTTTCTAGTCTTTTCGACCACTCAAAGCGCTTTTACACTACATCTGCATTCACCAGTCACACACATTCATACACTGAGCCTAAGTGCTCAGTAACCCTAACCCTAACCCTAAGTGCTCAAACGGAAACTAACATTCACACTCATTCATACACTGGCGGAATAGCCGCCAGGGGCAATTCGGGGTTCAGTATCTTGCGCAAGGACACTTCGACACGCAACTAGGAGGAGCCAGGGATTGAACCACCAACCTTCCGATTAACGGCCAACCCGCTCTACCTCCTGAGCCACAGCCGAGCCACAGCCGCCCCACAGGGGCATTTAAAAGCAAACTTTATTGCTTTTAAATATTTTTCTCCTGTAGATCCATCCATCCATCCATCGTCAACCGCTTATCCTGCGTACAGGGTCGCGGGGGGCAGGAGCCAATCCCAGCTGACATCGGGCGAAAGGCAGGGTACACCCTGGACAGGTCGCCAGTTCATCGCAGGGCCACACATAGACAAACGACCACTCACACTCACACTCAGCTCCTGTAGATCAACTTTCATCCCTGCTGAGTCAACACACATGATTATGTCTTACCTCCTCTTTTGTGGGGACGTAACCTATTTAAATGTGTTTGTTGCCCCTTTTCATCTCAGTAATAAATTAATTTGTTTTAATTCAGTTATTGACTTTATTAGCTCATCTGTTAATAACTTATCATATCATAACTTATCTGCTCATGTTCAAAACTTTCTGCACATTCAGAATCTCTCCACCATATGTGTTCACTGACAATGTAAAGAAAAAAAAGTCTAATATTACGAGACTAACGTCAATAGCCTATTTAAAGAGAATTCATAATATTTTACTACATGCCCTATACTGCATTACGTCACTGATTCGCTGGAAGTTTCCCCTCGACCATCTAACACAGAACTGAATGAGACAAGGAGGTGCTCATGCCGGGGGAAAACGAAACTAACCGACAACATCTGTGATCAGACAGATCAGACAGATCGAATCCACACACGTTAACTTCAGCACTTCTGATAAAGTGCAGCTTACAGTCCCCAACAGAGCAAGTCAGGGCTTTAGTTTTTAACGTTACATTTTTATAGCCTACTGAAACTACTCTAAATGTCCGCTTTGGCACAAACTGTCTGCAACTCAGTGCGAGGTGGGTCCACCTCACTTGCTGGTGTCGCAGCAAAGTTGCTTTCAGGGTAGGTCCGACAGTGGAATATCCCTCTTGTAAATGTGAAACCACTGCAATAACAAGACGTTCATGGTGTATTCCTCAGAGAAATAAACACGGTAATACCAAGAAAGAGAGCGTCAATTTTACACAGTAAATGCCAAGTGGGTAAACCGATTGAAACGGGTAAAACGACAAAAACACTGGAGAATTCTCTGGGCAGATAGTAGGACCGATACCTCAACATTAAAATTGTCCATCCACTTTAGCTGCATTTGAGCACCAAGCATTATTTATGTAGATACACAGACCTGCTCCCCTCGTCTTAACGGTCTCTAGCGTCCTGTTTGCGCGGAATAAACTCCTCCTGTCAAGTGTGACAGGTTCCTCAGGTACGCTGCTATGCAGCCAGGTCTCTGTGGCTCTGTGATGAGGGCACAGCAGTCTCTGCTTTTGGTGAGTGAGCCTTACTCTTACTTCCTCAATTTTACTCTCCAGCGACCGGACATTAGCCAAGAGTAGGCAGGTGAGTGATAAAGCGAAAATTTGAAGTCGATCGGACAAATTCCCTGGGAGGAGTTTATTAAAGTACGGACTTTGTAAATCATCCAAAAATGAGCATAAAATGGACAACTTCCTGTTGGGCTCAGGGCATTGCTCCAAGAGGCTTTTTGGTACGTCTGGGCATGGTACGTGTGCCACAGAAATTCCATACATGTGGGTGAAACATGCCGCGGGGGCGGCTTCGTTAAAGGTCACTTCCTGTTGCGAGCAGGTGGCACTATGGCTTTGAGTGAATGTTGGCATATGGATGTGTTCAGGGCAGGACTCTTATTATACATACTAAATTTAGTGCAGATGTGAGCATGTACACTGACGTTATTACAAATTCCTGTTTCATGGCGAATCAGCAATTTTCAATGCCTCGCCACGGCATTCGACAAACCACCGTTAGTACAACTTTTAATCATCAGTGGCTTTAAACCACACAGCACAAAACTGAAATCAGTCGGATTAAATCTCTAGGAGTTGTTCCTTAAAGTACAGAGCCTGTAAATCATCCAAAAATGACCTTATGTAGACATATCCTGGAAGTTTTCTGTTGATTGGACAAACAATTTGTATTTTGTAGCCTGATTAGCATTATATCACCTGCAGTTTGTTTGCATTTATAGCGCAATCTGAATGAAAATTTCAGGGCATGTTTCAGTTACTTATGAGGACATATCCTGAGAGATTAGTGATGATTGGAGAATGAATATGTGATTTATGGTGACATTAGTGTAATGCAAAGCACCTTTCTTGCGTTTGCGCAGAACTCTCAAACTCCCAGGCCTCTGGTAGAGGACCCGAGCTTGAGGATGACACATACCACACCGCAACGGGTGAGAGGGGGATTTTTATATATATTATATATTTATATAGCTCCTGGATAGCTCAGTGTTTAATGCCACTGACTTTGGTACAGGTGATCGTGGGTACAACAAATATGCTACAGCAAGGGGGAGCCAGGACGACAGGTCAGCGGGGAGATGTTATCATCATCCCCACACTCCCACTCCCCATCTCACCCCCAACAAGAGATTGGGTCCCAAGCCCCAATAACAACAAACCCTTACAGCGCAGAATCATTCAACATAAGGGGACTGACCTACGACTGAAGATCATAACCAAGCTGGACCTCGATTGGACGACCAAGATTGTCAAGGCTAAGTGACAAAGTACCCTCTGAAAGTCTGCTAGAAGATGTGAATGCAGCATCCCTACTAAAGCCATAACCGAGACCAATGAGCTGATGTACGCCACAGCAACAGGATGGAGGAGAAGGCTAGAGGCCAAGATCAAGGCAACACCAAGAGAGGTTAGTCAGCTGTCAGAGCTACAGAAAGGTGCTACCTAAGAAATACAATACCTGAGGCTCTGGAGACTGCCAAACAAAGACTTACCGCTCTGGCTACCTGCCTAAAGAGATACAAGTGAGAAGCAGAAGCCAGGAGAATAAACCGGATGTTCTCCACCGAACCATCCAAAGCCTCAATGGCAGGGTAATAACACAAGATCAGATCCACCCAGAGCTGAGACTGAACAGTCCTGGAAGAACATATGGGAGAAAGAGGCATCCCACAACACCAATGCTCAGTGGCTAGTGAATCTAAGAACAGATAACAGTAATCTCCCAGAACAAGATCCAGTCACCATTACAACGGCAGAATAAATGAATGCCTGGCAGCCCAAATGAACCAACTGCTGATGGATGGGACCCACCCAGAATGGTTAACCCAAGTACGTACAGTCCTGATCATGAAGGATCCCCAGAAGGGAACAATCCCATCCAACTACTGGCCAATAACCTGCATCTGCACAACATGGAAGCTCCTGTCA